CGGGGGCGGGAGGAGCAGCGCGGGGCCGTGGTGCAGCCCGCCGTGAAGTGGGGCCCCAGGAAGTCGCCGCTTACCACGGGTGGGTGCCGGGGAGGGGGGGGTTCGTAGCTGAGGCATCACGGAATGGTTTGGGTTTGCCTGAGGTACCGTCCGGCCCTCACCCCCCCTTGCCGTGCGCAGGGCTGCTCGGAGCTCACGCTCCCCCGTCCGGCCCGGCCTTCAGCGCTGCCGGGGATGGGGCAGCCACGGCTTCCCTGGGCAGCCTGGGCCAGGGTCTCACCCCCCTCACAGCCCAGAGTTTCTTAGTAATAACCCAGTGTAAGTCTGTCATCTTTCAGGGTGGAACTGTTCTTCCTTTTCCTGTCACTACAAGCCCTTGTAAAAAGCCCCTCCCCAGCTTTCCTGTAGCCCCCTCAGGCACTGGAAGGTGCTGTGAGGTCTCCCTGGAGCCTTCTCTCCTCCAGGCTGAACAGCCCCAACTGTCTCAGCCTGTCTTTATAGAATGAATGCTCCAGCCCTCTGATCATCTTTGTGGCCCTTGAATACTCCCCTGTCCACAGAAGAAAATGTAGTGAAGATGAATGAGGTCTTGTATAAGTCACTCCTGTGGTGGACTTGAAGGAGTTGCCAGTAATTCCTTTTTAAGGACCTTAATTAGCCTTCCTGTTCTTAGATTTCCCTGAGAAATCTTTGTAGTTAACTGATACATACATTACACTTCAGTGCTAAAGATGTATGATGAACTTGTCTTGATGCTGTTTCTCCGAACACTTCTAATTGCAGACTTGTAATAGAAAGGATTAAGCATTTTGTAAGTTTGATTTATATATAAAAACCAGTTTTGTATATAATGGGGTAATGGCTTTAAACTGGAAGAGGAGAGATTTAGGTTAGACAGTAGGAGGAATTCTTCACCAAGAGGCAAGAGGGTGGTGAAACACTGGAACAGGTTGCCCAGGGAAGTTGTGCCTGCCACTCCCTGGAATTCTTCACAGCCAGGTTGGATGGGGCTTGGATCAACCTGTTCTAGTGGGAGGTGTCCCTGCCCATGGCAGGAGGTTTAGAACCAGATGATCTTTAAGGTCCCTACCACCCCAAACCATTCTGTGATTACATGTCAATTTATATATAATACCCCTTCTTGTATTCAAGTTTATTATGCAATGAACCTAAATGTTATTTAGTTTAATTAGTGATGCTGATTATAGTAAGTTGTCACTTTGCAGAATAAAGTTTCTAACCTTTTCAGAATTTACATAAACATTCCTGGTTTACTCCTGAAAAAAAAACAAACAACAAACCAAAAGCACCTTTCTGTCCAGTCATACAGAAGAAAAGCAGTGATTCCTTTCCGTTTATTTAGGCCCTCCAGATGAAGAGTCTGCAGTCTGAACAAATGTTTTGCAATGCTTGTTGAAACACCACAGGTACAACAAGAAATCTGTGCGTTGAACACTAATAATAGGAGGAAAAATAGGATCATGGTTATCTTTAAAAATATATTACCCTTTGGACCAAGGTAACCAATTGAATGTGTCAATTACATTTTACTGTCTAGAGAAACTTGACAAATCAGTTACAAAAGAGGATCTTGCTCCTGTTTAGCAAGTCAGAACTGCATCTACTGATCTAATATTCCCCTGTCATCTTTGTGATTTCACAGAGTCCTCAAAAATCAGTGCTTTGCCATGTAGATGTTAAAAAAAAAAGTGACTGATTAACCAGAATGCGGGACTGGAATCTGCTGGTTTTAGCAGGTCATAAATCTGTATAGGTCTTCTATGAGTAAGTGCCAGTGAAGTTAGCAGGAGGATATGCCATATTAGTAGTGCTTTAAATATTGCCACAAAGCACCAAGAAATTAATTGTAGTTTTGCTCTCATCTAAAGTAACATGAATGTATTTTTTCAGTAGTTACTCATTTTACTTGTTCAGGCAAAGAGCCTGGTAATTTCTTTGCTGACAGTACAGTTTAAAATTACTCTAAATCAATAACCATGGAAATAATTTGTGCTGGCAGAAAGATGCTTTGTGTGGTAAAACTACATCCAACTAGAAGTTTAATTATTCTGAGTAGAAGTAAGACTGTTTGTTCCTTGTGCTACTGGTTAACATAAACACATTAGTAGAATTTCACTATACCTTAGTCTTTCCCTGCTCATGCATGTACTGTAGTAACTGGAAATGTGAGGAAGTAACATTAGTATATTATAATCTTTTTTTTTCTTGTGTTCCTAAAGCTGAATTGCAGGTTGTTGAAGCTGTGGCTCTTGTAGATACCCTTCAGAACTGGACAGTTTTAGATAAAATAATTATTCCTACAAAAAATCCTGATAAGAAGTTTATTTTTGGCAAAGGAAACTTTCAGGTTTTGACAGGTAAGAACTTGAGATTTTTCAGCATTGCATCATTCTAAGTGGAAGATTCCTGCAGCTGAAGTGTTTAAGATAGGTTTGAAAGCTGAAAAGAGAGAATTTTGTGTATCTATCAAATTATGATTTAAGGTTACAAAACCAACACAGAATAAAAATAACCCATGCACACTAAAAATGTGTGTGGCAACTTCATCCCTATGTTTAAGTGATTGACATAAGTGGAAGTGGCAGATGTTTTACATGCTACTAAATTACTGCAAATCCAAGCATTCTGTGAACAAATAATATAATGCCATTTGATATTTTATGAACATTCTGTACAGTGCAGAATGGTCTCATATACTGTATGTTTGAAAAAGAGAATTCACATGTAACACTCTATTTTGTAATTGTTATCCATCTTTTAGAAAAGCTTAAAAAATTGCCCCAGATGACAGCTGTCTTCTTGAATGTGGAAAGAATATCTTCACTAACAAAGGTAATTACATATAATATGAAATTATATTACTTACATCAATTATTCAGAGGCTATTGCTGCTATAAGAAGTAGGGTCTGAATTTGCAGATGGTAATATATTAAGTCACCTGGACTGAGTTTTGTTGAAAGGAAACTTAATTCCTGTTACATTTGTTCAGTTAGTACAGTGTTTCCAGCTCTTGTACATGAAATTTTCCAGCAGCCTAATAGCCATTTAGTATAGACTTTGCTTCCACATCTGCCACTGGCTCTACTTAAAATGTTGGGAAAAGTTACTCAAGATCTTTTTCACAAAATCCACTACGTGGATAGTGCATTTATTTTCCTATAGTTCTGTGGATGCTGTATTGTATTTTAAATATGGACTGGAAGTTCAGAGCAAGCTTATATTTGAATGTTTTAATTGTTTAAACTTTCATTCCTAACCCTTAAAAAGAAACTGTATTTTAAATGGATGGATTATGTTGAGGGATTATGCTTCACTTTTTTTTTTTTAACACTGGCAGTAAAACGGCTGGCACATGAACTTATAAATGCCCTTTGAAATGCTTAGACAAACTAAAATAAATACTTTTAAGGTGTTTTGCATGTACAGCATCACACAGGGTGTAAAGCACATGCAAACTCAGCAAGCAAACATTGATGCTTTGCTGGCAGTTTTGAATGCTCAAGCTGATTATAAAATTAAAAGATATGGTCTTTATTAGGCAGTTATCCTGAGCACTTCAGTTTACTGATGAAACAGAACTTGAAAATGTTTCATTTCAGTTTCCTAATTTTTATTCCCTAATTTATAGTGTACATGTACTTTTTGTACTAGATTTGCTAAAATTTCCTTTTCTCAAATCTACATCTCAAGCATTTTAACAGGGTTGATTCAAGAAAATGTTGGAGAACGTGTAAAACACAAGCAATCTGGATGTTAGAGATGGCAGAGGGGAGCTACTGCAGACTTTTAAGTGTCTTTTGCTGAACTAGGGAAAGCCATACCAGCATTTTATCATTATTTTTTGCAAGGACTTAACCACTGAGATTCTTGATTCTGATGCATGCTGTAAGAGCTGTCAGAATCCATTAAAGGCAATGGAAGGATTTCCACTGAATTTGGTGAGCCTATACATAAAGCTCTACCTTCTAAAACTCTCTTTTTTACCGTTCTTCATGGTCAACCAAATTTTGCCTTCACACAATCATTACCCAACCATTGAAATGGAGTCCTGAAATCCTCTGCATTCTAGTGTCCACCAGCAAAACTGTAACTGCAGTGCTGTGTAGGAATTGATCTACTGGTACTGCAGAGGACAGAAAACATCTAGGTTATTTTGTCTTACATGGCTAAAGAAAGAGCTGGAAGATGCCTGGGGCGTGAAGGTCTTTGACAGATACACAGTCGTACTTCACATTTTTCGTTGCAATGCCCGGACCAGAGAAGCAAAACTTCAGATAGCATTGGCTGAAATTCCACTTCTCAGGTACCTCGAGCTGTGCAAATCATCTACTGCTGCTCACATATTTTAGTGACTGTTTCTTTACAGTAACCAAAATGGTAATACTGTACTGTAAAGAAAACATTTTGCTGTTTCAGTGCTGGCATAGTATACTCAGTGATTGATTAGAGCATATAAATATTTGCTAATCTACCCGTTCAGTGCTTAAATCATGTTCCTAAGCACCACATCTGTATTTCTTTTAAACATTTCCACGGATGGTGACTCCACCACCTCCCTGGGCAGCGTGTTCCAGTTTCCAACCACTTTTTCAGTAAAGAAATTCTTTCTGATATCCAGTCTAAACCTCCCCTGTTGCAACTTCAGGCCATTTCCTCTCGTCCTGTCATTATTCACTTGAGAGAAGAGGCCAACTCCCACCTCCCTACAACCTCCTTTCAGGTAGTTGTAGAGACCTGGATATGTCTAGGAAATGGATATATGTATCCCATATATAATATTGATTGGTTTAATGAGGAAAGCTAGAAACAAAGAATATTAAAGGCATTCATTTGTATCTGTATTTTCTACATTTCTACATTCTATGGCACAAAAATACTTGTACATGGAGTATGATGTGAGTTGCATGGATGTATCAGCAGCATCTTTGGCTCTCTGAAATGTCAGAATAGCCATTATAATTTGCTAAGAGAGTTGCATGATTCTTGAAATCACCATTGAGGAGCCAGGAAAATCTGTTTGTTTTGGGGTTTTTTTGCCAGACTTCTTGCCTTGAGCAGGTTTTATTTTGAGTGGTTTTATTTGTAGTATTAGAATACTGCTACTGCTTCACATTTTTGAGGCATTTTGGGATACCTTGATTAAAGAAACTTGCTTCTAATTAACTGTTATTCCATTGCCAGGTCAAATCTGAAAAATGAGGTGTCTCGGCTAGATCAGCAGAGAGGTGGCTCAAGATACATTATGGGCTCAGGTAAAGTCTAAATATTCTCATGAATTAGATGATTTTTTTTTTTTTTTTTCTCCATAGCCTTTAAACAAATGTTACTGCATCTTATTTTATTTGGAGGAAGCCAGGAGGAAAAACTATGTTCTGCTTCTCATTAAGTGAATGTACAGAAATTATTGGAAAGTAACTTCAATAATGAAGCTTTGGTCTGTACTGGCTCAGTAAGAGGCCATGGACAGAGTATTTACTACCATGGGGGTTTATCATAAGAGTATATGGTTATTCTAGAGTGCTTAGCATATGTTTTAATAATTACTTATCACTGTGATGCTCTCTTAGGCAGAAATACATCATTTTAGTTGCTTAGCCCTAGTGCTAAATTACTTGATTTCCAAGTACACATTGGTTGGTTTATTGTTTCTCTTGTGGACTATTCTGCCAAGTTTTCATTTGTATTTTCCAGGTGAAACATTCATGGAGACACAGCATCGTATCTTGAAAGAAAAAGAACTTAAAATTAGGAATGCCCTGGAGAAACTAAGAAGAAAAAGGTCTTTACTTAGAACTCAGCGCAGAAAACGCGAGTTCCCGGTTGTCTCGGTAATGGGCTATACTAATTGTGGTAAGCAAAAACAAGTGAAATTATAACACAGAGGAGCTTATGTTGTCTCGATTTTAATTAGAAACTCTAGCCAGAATCTCATTTCAGTGTGAACAGGCTTCAGGTTGTAATTAGTTTTTTAATTGTGTAATGAATATATGTCAATTAGGATGTAGTTAGGAAAGTAAATGGTGTTTGTTGTAGTTTTGTTGGGGTTTTTTTCAGTCTTGAAAACATGTTTTGGAGAAATGCCTAACACCTGTGGTTCCAGAAAAATTATATATATATATAGTGCTGAAGCCTGTACTACTCATGTCCCCTTATATGAATCTTTCTTACTTGATCAGAATGGGTAGAGAAAAGTACATGGGGTTTTAGATCACTGGGAAAGCTGGAGGCATAGGAGGAAAATGCAGGAGAGTTGGCAGTTGATCTGAGAAATGTCCTCAAGAAGCACTGCAGGTTTTTATTGATTGATGTAAAGTGTACCAAGATGTGTTCATAAGATAATCTAAATAAAGCTAAAGTGGTTTCCTATTCTTTTTTTTCTATATCTTACACAAGTGAATAGACTTTGTATTAGACACTTTTTTCAGATTACATTATCTTAAGACCATTTCTTATTCAACAGCATTATAAAAACAAACTTACCTTGTACAGATTTTGTTAACATACTCAAAGACTTGGATTACAGAGTTATGTTGTTCTTAAATGTCATACTTCCATGCTTCTAAAAGTGAAGATTCAACAAAATAGATACATATTACAGCTTTGTGCACATAATTGAAATACTTTAACTAGGGTATATACTGATCACTTTAATGACTAAATTCTGTGAAATAGTAACTGAGTTAAATGAATGTGTCTAGTATTTTTTTCATGAGGGAACTCCCAATAATTGCATAAACCTAATTGGCTGTATATTATTAGTGTTTTTGTTTATTGTTGGATTTAGCAGGTAAATATTTAATTGTTCTATTTGACAACAGAAGCATTGAGAGGTGCATAAGCATGTTTCCTAATGCTGTCATGGCAGAACTCTTCAGATAGTCTTAGAGGTCAGAGACGTGATCACCTTGCAGGTCAGTTCAGTCTTTGATCATCTTGTGATTTCACAACACAGCTTCCAGACTTACATGCCATTTCAAGTTATAAAAGTTTAAATTGTTTTCAGATTTCCTAACATCATATAGATAACTAATCATAGGCTAGATTTAAATGAATGAGATTATATTTAAAGATATGTAACATCATACAACTCACCCAAGCCTTGCAAATTAAATTTTTACTTGAAACAAGCCATTAAAATCTTGTCCTTTTTTTTCTTTAATTAGGAAAAACTACCTTGATCAAAGCCTTAACTGGGGAAGCAGGAATTCAACCCCGAGATCAACTGTTTGCCACTCTTGATATTACAGCCCATGCTGGCTACCTGCCCTCACACATGGCTGTTATTTATGTTGACACGATTGGATTTCTGACTGATCTCCCACATAATCTGGTTGAGTCCTTTTCAGCTACATTGGAAGAAGTAGCTTACTCTGTAAGTAGTTGACTAGAAAAACAGAGATATCAAGTTATTTTCCTTTTAGATAATCCTCACCCCTTCAAAAAAGGGAAAGTTAATTGGCTTGCTGTTCTTAGTGAAGTATGTGGCTAACCATAGTAGTCTCCTAAGATAATGAGGTAAATATCATAAGCCAGTTTTCTGAAACTTGTAATTATGCAGAACACATAGATAGGAAGATATTTCAGCAAGGGTTTATTTGGAGTATATATGTCCTTCTCCATGATACGTGAACCAGACAAATCAGATTTTGCTGATGATATATGTGAAAAACCAAATGGTGCATCCAGATAAGCTGAGGCTAGCTTTCTTGAGATTCAAAAATGAAATAAAGCCTCTGGAATGATCTCTCTTTATCTTAAGGTTTCCTGTAACACTGTAAGTGGGTGATTGTGACTTGATGCTGCCAGCATGTAACAAACATAATTGTACTTTTCCAGTAATTTTCTCATTAAAGTTAGTTTCCTGTGTTATAGCAAAGTGTAAAGCTGCATACACACAGACATTTAAACAAAGATTCTGAATTATCAATGGTAATGAAATGCAATGGTAGCTGGATGCCAGGTGCTTCTGAGGATTAGACTTTACCATGTAATAATAGGACTTCCTAGCTTTTTCTGGCTGCAACTATCCTGCGTCTTTTATTCTGAAGTGTTAAATGAAAAGCAAGAAATTTACTTCTCACTAATTTTCAGAATTTTGAAGCAGTATCTTGAGCAAAGATGACAAAACATTTTGAATGCAAATATTGGCATTTGGTTGCTTGTTTTTTATCATGGCAAACATGATCACATCTGTACTTGAAACTGATACATTTTATAAAAAGCTTTCTAAGTGAAGAACCAGTAATAGTAACTCAGGAGCTAAGAATAAGGATAATCTTCTGCATTTTGTATGTAAAAATGTAATTACAAATTATATGGGGGTTTTTCCCCCATTTTTGAAGCAGTTTTTCAGCGATAACTCTTCTAAAACCTCTTTACAGTTCAGTCTTCTTCTCCAGTGTTTTTTAAGCCATATTATTACACAGCTTGAGCTTTGAAAAATTGGATCACTTATTATTTGAAATCTGAATTCAGGACCTAGCTTGAAACTAGCTTGATTGACAGGGTTTGTTTCAGGGTTGTTGGAGGAAATTTCTACCCACAGTGAAGTGAAAAACTAAACTGCCACAGATTTGCTTTCATCATGGAACAAAAACCAGTATTAGCTTAGTACTGGTTTAGTAGTTCATTTTGCAGTGTTAAGTTGCCACTGTATTATCTAATGGATAGGAAAGTATATTTTATGAATTAGGAACACAAAAACAGTATAAAATCTCTGAAACCTCGTAACTGCTGTGTTTCGTTAAGTAACTGTCATGTGTATTGATCCTTGTTAGGATCTAATAGTTCATGTGAGGGATATTACTCACCCAGAAACCATCCTCCAGAAAGCAACTGTTCTGTCAGTTCTGAAGAATCTCAATCTTCCCAGCCATCTATTGGACTCAATGGTAGAAGTTCATAACAAAGTGGATTTAGTAGAAAGGTAAGCAGGAGATGCTAAATGTACTTAAACATTTCTTAAATTCTGGAAGCTTTTTAATTCTAAGTGCTAAAAAGAGCTCACATACTTCTAAATACATTTAACAGCGTTTTGCAATCTTTTACATGTGTAACTGTGGTCTTAAAAGGAATTAATTATCTTCTAACTACAAAGGAAATAACTTGAGTCATGCAAGAAGTAGCTTCCGTAGGAAGGTGCCAGAATAAAACACAGTTAATTGTCCATGCTTGGAATTATTTTCACAACCTAATCTTCATGAGTAAATATGTTAACAATTGTTACTTTTCAGGTACAAACCGACTGAAGAAAATGCTTTAGCCATTTCTGCTCTACAGGGACATGGTTTAGAAGAGCTGAAAGAAGAAATAGAGAAAAAAATTTTGATAGCCACAGGGAAGAAGATTGTGACAGTTCACGTCAACTTAGAAGGACCTCAGCTAAGGTAAATAAATTTGAATTGTAAGAAGGACTAGGAGAAATGTGAAACTCTTACTCTTGCATGTCCTAACATTTCCAAATCATATCATACTGATTTTAATCTGTGGTAAGAACTACATGGCTAATTATCAAAGTTTTCTAACCTACTGAGAAAAAATACCCCCATTAGATGCCTGGAGTCTGCTTCTGAACATGTCCTTCACAGAGTTCTTTGTGTTAGTGCAATAAAATATACTTCCTGAAAGACCATGCCACTGGTCCCAGAGACAGATTTCTGATAAAAACACAACTCTGGAATAATTATGAGAGCACTATACCCTGTTTCCAAACACCAAGTAGCAAATGAAAAGTTGAGTGAAGTACTTCATATTTGAAAGTATTAAATTACCTAGATGGGAAAATGTTGACCTAAAACTAAGATCACATTTTATGCAGCTTGTCATACCTTTATGATGCTAATATGCTTTTATTTTTACAGTTGGCTCTATAAAGAAGCAACAGTTCAGGAAGTAGAAGTCATGCCTGAAGATGGCACAGCCAGGGTGAAAGTGATAATCGGCAATTCTGCTTTTGGCAGATACAAAAACCTCTTTCCTAACAGTAAGATTTTTATGCCATGAAACTGCATCCTTTGCTAGGAAAAGAAGCCAATCTCATGAAGAGGATGTGAAATGAAGTTAATGACCGGTTAGCCTGGGTGTTGAAGAGTGTATTTCTTCCCTAGCTGATGTTTTTGTTGCATTTTAGAAACAGACACTGCTTCACAGAACTTCTGTTTGGAAACAGTCAGAGCGTTGAGCTTCATTCCATCAGCAACTGCAAGGACAGCACTGAATTTTCAGTGATTAAACATTGTAGGCTATAAGCTGTGGACCTCAAACACGTGAAAATCACTGGAATGCCTCTGAGTTAATCAAGTTTCTTTACATTATATAAAGCTTTTTACCCCATATTTCAGAATAAAACATTATTTATTATAGTTAAGTTGTCTCAGGTTCTCCTTGGAAAGTGAAAGTTGGTGAACAAAATGTTGGTGGCAGTATATTGATAATACAGATAAATATGTATTCAAGGAGAATGCATGAACCTAAGTAAAATAACTGCCATGTCTTACTGGAGTGAAGTAAAAAAAAACAAACCAGCACATTTAAATATTTAAGCAATAAAGTTACCTGTGAACATCTCTTACCCATACGGTTTTCTTGCCTACAGTAATATATCCACAATACCAATTACTATCTCAACTCTTAGAGAAAACTTTTAAGGTGCAGCAACCCATGGATTTTGTGTGAAATTCTTGCACAAAGGAAGAAAACCAACAAACTCATCTATTACCTGAGTTATGAATGACTACTGGAAACCAATAAAACCGTCAGTATCACAGAAAGGAGAAGCAAAACTAAGTCTATATTAGAGACATCAAGTTTTATTAGAGTAACAAGCCACTTGAGGCCCCAAGGCAGAAAAAAATCAGTATGAAATACACAGAAAAGAACAAGGATACAAAGCACTGTAAAAAAAAACATTTAGAAAGTCATCTTCCTAGATGGAATGTTTGGGTTTTTACTCCTACATATGAAGCAATAGCAAGAGCTAATCACCTGAGGAGGTAGCATCTTAGCCTTTCCTTCTGAGAGGTCTAGTGCAAGTTTGATCTGATGTCAAGTAGCACTTGATTTCAAACTTCTGCAGGCACCTACTGCAAGCATTAACACCTTGCCAGACATTTGAACTCAGCTTTTGCATATAAAGTGCATCTAAAAATTGAGGTATATTGCTGAAGCTGCATAGTGAACTTCATACACTGCCTGTTTTTTTAGTCCCAATGCTTGTCACTTCTCTTATCTTCATCTGTTATTGCACAGTTCATTTTTTTAAAATTAGAATATGCAACAACAAACAGCATAAAGCCCTGAGTTTTTACATAAGTACAAACTACTTACTGAGAGGAAAAATTATTTAACTAGTTTAGTAGCTCTATAAAAGACTAGGTGTGAAACCCCAAACAAGCATGATCAAAACCAAGAATCTGTATTTCTAGAGCAGTCTGAGTTTAGAGGTAAGGACTTTGTTTTATATTTATTTTCAACGTAAGGCAAAACCTAATGAAACAGTCTCACATACAAAACTGTCTAGGGGCCTACTTTTTGTATCTTTATCACTGCAGAAGTGCCATGAGTGTTAAAAAAATGTGTTCAAATACACAAACCTCTTTTAAATCGTAAAGAATTTTGTGGCTACCCTTTTGGTAAAGGGGCTCATAACTCATCATCAGCACACAACAACAGCACAGCCACTTCTAGAGCTCCAATGTTAATGATGTATTGGTGTATATATAAAAATCATCTCAAATAGGATTGTCAGTACAGTATCTTTGACACACAAAAAATACTTTAAATTGTTCCCTTTGTATATTTAACACCAACTACGAAAACAAGACAAACCAGGTTCAGGGTGATATAAAAGACTGTGAATTGGAGTTGCAAGAAGTGTCTTTACAGTTATAATAAAGATAAAAAGCTTACCACAAAATTATTATTGCAGCTACAGACATATTTCTCCTTTCTCATATGCAAAACATGATTAAGTTGTTGGAATTTTCAATATTGCCAACTGCTACAGAATCTAAGCACCTCCAAGTAAACTATGTCTATACCTTAACTCTCTAGAGACTTCAGCAAGGTCTGCCTGCTCTCTTTGTGAAAAGGCCTTGAAACCCTGATGGTGTTGAGAGCACTTTTCTTACCGAGTCTGTAAAAGAACCCATGTTTAAATTAACTGGACCTTTATGGGATCCAGGATATTTAAACCAGGACACATTAAAAGCAGACAAAGCCTTTCCAGCTTTTCACAGATTAAGAAGCTGACAATGAAATGCTGTTTGTTCCAGCCCCTTTACTTTGACAGTGTAATGGAGGATTAATTTTTGTGTTTAGTTCTATTACATCTTTCACAAAATCATTGTTTCCTATAAAGTCTCCAGCAATTATGTTAATACATTCTTTTTTCGGTCCTGGATACTGCTTCTTTATCCAGATTTTCAGGCATGGAAGACTCTGGAGTGTCATTTTCTTCAATGATCCAAATGGGTGTACAAGAATATACCTTATATTTTCAGTAAGGTTAATCCCCGCTACGAAGAATTTTTCTGAAACAAAAGTCAGAAGGTGACACATTAAATATTCCTTTGAGGAGAACAGAATCTGCTCAGCATTGCATTAGCTCCCACTCCCATTCCCCTGGGAATCATTAAAATACTAACTTCAGTCTTCCTGTATTGTTTCATAGCCCTAGAACTGCTCCAGCAGATTCCCCCTGTTGCAGCTGCGTGCTGTAGTAAACAGTGACTGAACCAAGTTGGGCTGCT